TTTTCTTTCAGCACAGTTTTCCCAGGCGCGGGACTAGTTATTTGCCGAAGTTTTAGGGTGGCGAGGAGAACTATAATTCTCTCTCCCTATTCTGTAGAATCTGTTAGTTCAATCTCTAACGTTCTGCTCTCTCTGCTTTTTCTCATAGTAGCTTCATCTGGTCTGTTCCTGTTTGGCTGTGACGCCATCCTGGAGAGAAATATCAGCTGTGCTGCTGCCATCAACACCTTTGTTTATAGAGGTTTGAGATCGTCCTGTTTTCCCAGTGTAGTCCTGCTTCTTTGACTGTGAATGGCTGGATGTGCTCTCTTAATCCTCTTACATGGGAGCAGACTCGGAGCTCATCTGCCGTGTGTTTCCTGGACAGACCACCTTTTGCAGCTGCTTCTGTATCTCTGCATCTGTCTCCTTGAACCCCAGTCGGCCTCAGCAGATGGCCTGGTTCTGCTGCACTGCAAAAATGATTTAGAAAGAAGTAAAAATTTCTTATATTAAGTGTATTTACCCTTAATTTGAGTAGGTAAATGCGATAGTTTGCCAATCGAATGAGTGATTTTAGTCTTAAAATAAGATAATTAGATAATATGCCCTTGAAATAAGACAATGCAGCTGTGTTTTCTTATTTTAAATCTAAATTGTCTTGTTCCATTGGCAAAATGTCTCTTTTATCTCTTTAATCCAAGAACAAATGCACTTATTTTAAGAAAGAATGACTGATCTAAATTTGGTTTTTTTTCCAGTGTGGAGGTTTCTTCCTGTTAAAAGGTAATTTTTCCTCTCCACTGTCTCTACAAGCATTCTTAGTGTGAGGGATTGCATTGGAGTCAATGAGTCGATGCAATCAACTGGTTTTCCTTAGATAGAAAACTTCGAATCAATTTGACTGTATGAATTATAAATTGCCATGCGATGACATGTGTTGTGAATTGGCGCTATAGAAATAAACTGAATTGAATTGAATAGATACACTGCAAAAACCATCTAAAAATAAGTCAATTTTTTTTAACTAAAGTGTATTTGCCCTTAATTTGAGCAGGTAAATAGATGATTTGCTAACAGAATTAGTATATCTACTCTTAAAATAAGATAATGAGATATTATGTACTTAAAATTAGACAATGTAGCTGTTTTTTTCTTATTTTAAATGGAAATAATCGTTTTCAATTGGCAAAGTGTCTCCTCAGTGTAAGAATAAAGGCAATTATTTGAAGAAAACTGACTATTAAATTGGAATGTTTTTGCAGTGTACAAAGTAGAATTTATTTTAAGTATTAAATACCGTAAATTCTCTAATATAGGCC